TTATGATAAGTGCAAGCCGCGAATATTTTGGCAAATCGCAACAAGTAAAAGAAACAAACGAAATTAATATGAATAAATCACAACCGATCAACTTTTGACACGCTCTAGTTTACAAGAAGAAGAAGAAGAAGAAGAGGGAGAGAACTTATACAATACAAGGCATAAAGTATACAGAGGACGAAAAAGAAACTTTTTGGCAACAAACAATTTCGACCTGACAAAATTTTTAAGAAGTAAATTTACCAGAAAAAACACACACAAACTAAACAAACTTGAAGATGACCCACTAACACACACACACACACACAAACACACCCACACACTCAAAGCAAAAATGGCGTTTCGGATACAAAATTCTAAAATTCAGGTATAAAAAAAAAACAAATAGTGTTGTATAATGTTAAATTTTTTAAAATACCATATAAAATATTTAACTATTTATAAAAAAGAAAAAACACAAAAAAAAAAAAACAGTAAAAATAATAATAATAAGAAGAAGAATATGTGAGTAAACTTTACATAAGCTTGTTCAAAATTTACAAACGTGCTTTTACAACAAGAAACATTATTGTAGAAACCAGATTTGGATGTGTATAAATCATACGTATGTATATGTACTATATTTTTTCAAAAACAAAAACTGTATTTTAAAAAGGCTTTTAAGTACACTCGTAAAACAAATAAAAACAAGAACAAATATTACGAAAGAGAGAAAGAAGGAGAAATAAGTAAAAACAATTCAGTTGTGAAAAATTCGCACAGTTTCAATGAGATGATGAGATGAGGAGAGAAGAGAATAAAACACGAGCCGAGCTGTTTTGATAGTTTTTAACAATCTGGAAAATGTATATGAACTTAAGTAGTTTTTTGGGGTTACAAGAGTTTTTAACGAACATTAATCTACATAGAGCTAACACTTTGATGAAATTACTAGTGGCAATCCTTAAACGATAAAATACAATATATAAAAAAGAAAAACAAAAGCAAAAAAAAAAAAAAATAAAAATAAATAAAAATAGTGAATAGATCCAAGAGAGAAAGTCAACTTTACAAAATGTTGTTTGCGATTTGTTTGGTTAATTGTTAAACAAATATACTTAGCCGCAGACATGTGCTTATATTAAGTGAATGATTGCACAATTCTTGAGCAGAGGCACTCGAGTCGAGGATGCGACAGTAGCGAAATTACTTAATTGAATTAATGGATATTATGGTTAATTGATTCTTTGATTTGCCAACGACCTGAACGCTTTGTAAGAAAGAATTAACAGTAACATTAACATT